CTTAACACTCTCTCAGGTATGTGCCTCTTGTCCCCAGGACCTTTTGTCTCCAATGGCAGATAGCCATTCCTAGGAATGTTAAAGTCTCTCTGGGCACTTTTAATCTTCTGAATTTCATGTTTATTAAATTTCATGGTTGGAAAGCTTTAGAAACATCAAGAAGTTTCATATTTATTATGGGTATCTTGGTTTGCCAAATAGACTTGAAAAGCTATCAGTGTCCAGTATCAACCAGTCTGGCTATTCCTGTGGCCTCAGCTGACCTCATTGTACTAGACTGAATGCTGGTCTCCAAAAAGGCCTGTCCAAGTCCTAACCTGGACCCCTATTAATGTGACCTTACTTGGAAAAAGTGTCCTTGAAGATGTAATTAAGATCAGGAGTTCCAGATGAGATCATTCTGAATTAATCAGGTAGACCCTAAATCTAGTAAGTGTCCTTTTAAGAAGAGAAGAATACAAACAGTAGAGAAGAAACACAGAGAATACATAAGGGTGAAGGCAGAGGTTGGAGTTATGCAACTATAAGCCAGGGAGCACCAATGATTACCTAGAAGCACCAAAAGCTTAAAAAAAAAAAAAAAAAGAAGAAGCAAAATAGGATTCTCCCTAAGAGCCTTCAGAAGAAGCACTGCCTGGCCTGCACCTTGACTTTGAACTTCTGGTTTCAGAACTGTATTCAGAATTGTATTCAGAAAATACAATTCTACTGGTTCAAGTCACCAAGTTTGTGGTCATTTGTTATGGCAACACTAGGAAAACAAATACGGCGGCATAGAGAGACATGGAGTAGGCTGATGGTGACTGTTGCCTGCCTTTCTTGCCCAGGTGTCAACTAGCCTGGCCCTGAAGAGAGCAAAGGTGATGTCATTTAAAATCTTACAGCCATATACCTTCTCCCACCATTCTTGGTTTCACCTCAAAATACAATCTCCTGCATTTACTCTCTCCTATACTTTAATCCCCAGTGGATGTATATTGCTTCTGCTTCAACCAAGCTTCTATTTCTCCACTTCCTACAAACAGACCTGGCTATGTAATTTCTGGGCCCCAATGCAAGTTGAAAATGTGGCATCACTTGTTGACTATTATTAAGAATTTCAAGGCAGGGACAGCAGTATATTAACCCAAGCATGGGGCCTCCTTAAAAGCAGTGCCTTGTGCTACTCCACAGGTTGCATACCCATGAGGTGGGCTTGCCTCCAAAATATATGCACTCTGACCTTGAAGAATACTTATTCAACATTGAAATGTCCCACCTTTATAAGCCACTCATACTATGCTTCTTGTGTTAGGTGAAATCAGCTTTCTCCTGGAAACAGGAGGTCTCTTCAGTGTAGAATGCTCATTATCTCGCTGTAGGACCATGGGAGTCAGCTCTCCAGTATTGCTTCTGAACTGTGTACCGTGTCTTATATATAGGCCCTTGATCCATTTAGGCTCTTGCTCTATGAATATGTACCCTCTGCCTCAACTCTACACAGCTACTCACTCCGTTCCAGATCATTCTACCACATTCATGGACACCTTTGGTATCTTTCTCTATCCTATAGCCTCACTGTTAGTGGCTTCAGTGTTCGTGTGAATAGCCTTTTCATTACCTTAGTATCCAGTTTCTTGATCTTCATTTTATATTAGTCAACCCCACCCACAGTTCTTCCATAAACGAGGCCATCATTCTACAACTAAAACTTCAAGAAAACTATCCCACCTTGACTACAACTTCTAATTTTTCTCTCTCTCCCATATAATCAAGATTTGTAGTTCTTTAACTACAAATTTCTCTCCCCCTTTGTCTTCACTATTTTCCTATGTAACATTAACTTCATAGCCCTGTCCTTCAACCACTTTCTTAAAAATGGCAGCCAAGCTTTCCCTTCTATTTCCATCAAATCACTTGACAAAACACCAAAGCTGGAGTAGTTAAACTTTCTGCATTTAGAGTCATATATTTGGCACAAATTCACATGATTGGGTGGAACTACTGCTACCACCAGTGGACTCAGAAGTACGTCTTTGGACTTACATTCAGGTGCTCTTTACCATTCCCAAAAATAGCTACTGCTAACCTTTAGGTTGCTTATCTGATTGCATAATACCCCTTACTTTCTTAGTAGAAATGAGGGACTATCAAAAATCTTCAATCTTCCCTGACTGATGAGGCTCAGTTGGTTGGTCCTCCTCCCGGAAAGTGAAGGGTTGGGTTGCAGGTTTGATTCCCAGTAGAGAGGCACATGCTTTAGGTTGCGGGTTTGGTAGCAGGACTCTGTCTCCAGTCTGGGTGGTGGTATGAAATCAATGTTTCTCTCTCATATCAATGTTTCTCTCTCTCTCTTTCTCCCTCCCTTCCTATTTCTCAAAATAAATAAAATCTTAAAAAAAACTTCAATCACCTGTGAATAAACAAAACCATTATATAAATAGTGTTTTCTTAAGTCACTATTTTGTTTTAATTGAAGGAAATGAGCTTATAGTTATTCATTTAAAAAGTGTCTTATTAAGCACTTAATTTGTACAGGTACTATTCTAGGTACTGAATATAAAGCCTTCATGGAGCATACATTCAAATGGTTCAGAAGATTTCAAATATGTAACTTAAAAGTATATTACTGGCGCTGGCTGGTGTGGCTCAGTGGTTTGAGTTGGCCAGCCTGCGAACAAAATAGTCACAGTTCTCTTCCAGTAAGCGCACATGCCTGGATTGCAGGGCAGGTCCCCAGTAAGGGGCACATGAGAGGCAACCACACATTGATGTTTCTCTCCCTCTATGTCTAAAAATAAATAAAATATTTTTTAAAAGTATATTATTGAGGGATAATGATTTTATCAAGTTTACCCCAAAATACAAGTTAAAAAAATTTTGTGAACATAAAGGCACAGTTTTAGAATCATAAAAATCCAGTCATGGTAGTGTAATTCATAAACCCAAACATTTTAGCATCACTTTCTTCTATAGGCTTTCTAAAAGAAATAGACCCTAGTGCACTGTTGGTGGGAATGCAGACTGGTGCAGCCACTGTGGAAAACTGTTTGGAGTTTCCTCAAAAAGCTAAAAATGGAACTGCCTTTTAACCCAGCAATTCCACTGCTGGAATTGTACCCTAAGAATACCAAAACACCAATTCAAAATAACCTATCCACCCTAAAGTTCATAGAAGCACAATTTACAATAGTCAAGTGCTGGAAGCAACCTAAGTGCCTATCGATAAATGAGTGGATCAAAAAACTGGAGTTCATTTACACAATGGAATACTACGCAGCAGAAAGAAAGAAAGAGCTACTACCCTTCATGATAGCATGGATGGAACTAGAGAGCATTATGCTAAGTGAAATAAGCCCGGCGATGAAAGACAAACACCATATGATCACACCTATTAGTGGAACCTAATCAACAAAACAAAGAAGCAAGAAAAATATAACCAGCAACATTGAAAGAAAAAACAAACCAACAGTAACAAGAGGGAAGGAGGGAGGGGGATAATGGGGAAGAGAAGGGGAAGGGTCAAATCAGGGAACATGTATAAAGGACCCATGGATAAAACCAAAGTGGGGAAGGATTGAGGGTGGGAGGTGTGGGTGGGTGGGGCAGGGGAAAGTGGTGGGAAAATGAAGACAAATGTATATGAACAATAAAATAAATAAATAATTTTAAAAAGAATAATTTGCCTTAGATGATATTACATATTATTATATAATAAATAATATGCCTTAGAAATATATTTGATAATGTCAAATAAGTTTTGAAGTCACACTAAAAATCTAAATAACTCTCAATTTCTTTAATTAATATCTGTAAGACCACACAAGTAACTATGTTTTTAGAAAATAAAATGCCTTGGTCGGCAATTAGAAAAATCACAAGCTTTATCAACATGGTGTAAGTTAAAAAATGTCAATGAAGCTTAAAGTCAGAAAGACCTAAGTTCAAAAACTGATTTGGAGTCTTCCTAGCTATTTCAGCTGTATTCAGATTATATAACCTTAATGGGTCTCAGTTTATTACGTGAAAATAGAGATAATGATTACTTCATTGCCTGGATGGAAATATATAATTTAAAGAATCTGATTTTAACACCGTTAGTATTTTATATTAAATATTTGCTTAATTACATTTTCATATTTCACATAGCCATTACCTAAAAAAGAATCTGGAAGTAGTTAGTCGTGACGTTGCAGGTATTGTAGTCCCTGAATTGGAAGCCGGAACACAGTGTAAATGAGCACAGAGCGTAAGACTTTGAACACTAATAATGACTTTCAAGAAACCAGTGATCTCAGGAATTCAGTGAGGACAAACCACGTTTTCAGGAAGCAAAGAGGACCTTAAATTTTGCAGTAGTATCTCATCCATTTATTAGGGGTTTTAAAGGTCACAATGAAAACCTTCATAATAGGAACCTCATTTTTCTTCTGAAAACCTGAAAGTGAAACTTGATATGCATTGTTTTCTGCTTTGCTTTGCCCAAAAGTTGTCAACGTTGCATGTTGTTTCCCAATCTGCTAATAAACGTGAAAACCCACATTCCAGGCGATGATGAGCGAACTGTGCAATTTCTACCTTCTCCAAAGAGCTATCCTTAGATCAAAGGACAACATTATGACTCTTGGAGAACAAAACCTCGGGGTAAGCGCACACAGGTCGGTACGACAAGTTGCAGCGTCTGGAAGCGGGGAGAGAACCGAAATTCCCGCAGTCACGTTAAGCAAATTCTTAACAGAACCTGAACAGTAGGGCGGGCGGTCGGGGAGGACACGGGTTCTGTGATGAGCAAGGATGATTACTTGTTAACGCGCACGCTGGAAAGAGAGTCCCGCTTAAGGCGCCAACGGGTAAGAGCTGCCGTGGCGCCTGCCGAGAGCCCTCCACGGCGACGCGGGCTGAGCGGAGAGCCGGACACCGCTCTCCGGTAGCTCGGGGGCGGGTCCCGGCGGCCGCTTCCTCCGCCCCCGGAGTCGCCGCCGCCGCTTGGCTGCACCTCAGTTCAGACACCACCGCATCCCTCTGGACTGTAGAGGCGGCAGCGAGCTAGAGCCCGCGTCTCAGCTCCCGGCCGCAGAGAAGCTGGGCGAACCCGAGCGCAGGAGGACACCTGGCCCAGGCACGGCGGGCAGCTCTGCGCGCGGCTGGTGCGTACCTGGTGGAGGGACAGCGGGAGTGGGCGTCGCTGGTGCGAGGATGGAGGGAAAGGACTTGGGCAGTCGGGGGAGACTGAGCCAGAGAAAATGTGGTACGTGCAACTTTCCCATATTCCACCCAGTCGGCACGGTTCAAAGCGGATGCCCCCTTCAGGAGGGCGACCACATCATTCACATGCAAACTAGGGTGCTTTTAGAATGAACAGGGGCGCTCTGGTCAACGGGCGTAACCAGGGAGATCTGGCCGCTTGCTCTTTGCCCACTCTGACCAGAAGGTGGACATTGGTGACCTGTCATAAGTTGCAGAGCCCTTCACCTCTCAAGCAGGCAGTGCCTCGTCGTTTTGCTTGGGTTGCCGGTTCCCAGGCAGCCGCTCGCGACCACGGGGTCCGCGGAGACCTGAGTTCTCACTGGCTCGGCCAGCGTCGAGCTGCGTGGCTTTAGCCAGGTCGACTCACCTCACCAGTACCATCCCCCACCCTTTTTTTTGGGGGGGGGCGGGATAAAATACGGGCATCATTAGACCAGATGATCCCAAGGGTCCCCGGCAGATATTGGATTTTACAACAGGCAGTCTAGGACCCCTGCTGTCGCCAGGGAGACACTCGAATGTAACGTGGTCTCGGGGGCTTAGAGGGTGGAGGGCGTGAGTCTGACCGAGTGCTGCTGCTGCAACCCCATGGGGAAGCTCCTGAAAGTGCCTTCTGAGTGGAGGGGGAGGCGCAGGGAAGGAATCTTCGTTACCAGCTGTCCTGGCTGGGGCTGGCAAGTCCCTGCTGAGTGAGGCTGAGGCAGACGGGCCAGTCCCATCTTAGCAGAGCTCATCCTACGCAGCGCAGCCCGACTCGGTCCCTTTGGAAAAGCACCTGGACTGAGTGGGGGTTCACGGGAAACACTTTAAAAAATATTAAGAAAGGAACCAAAAAAAAAAAAAAAAAAACCCACTGCAGGTGGTGGTATTAGAGTCTTGTACGGGACTGGAAAGTGGAGATTGGAGGTTGATGATCACTTAAACATTCACCTAGGAAAAACAGAAACAAAAGACTAAAATTCTTATTAATGATTTGGACATTGAAAAAGTATTGACTTAGATTTATTTTGAGTATTGCATTTCTCTTTGTATACATGTAGATTCAAAATCCAAGATACCTTCCTTTATTGACATTGCTACACATTAAAAAAAAGAATTCTTCTGGGATTTAATATTCAAAAACTAAAAATTTGGATTATTAAAATGAGATGTGATGGTAATAAGCTCACAGGAAGTAATGGGGTAGGTTTTGAATTAAGGTTGGTTAAGCCCAGCATTTTTAAAACGCTCTTTCTTTCCTGTTGGTACATCCCCTGCTGGCCATATTCCTCCACCGACATTACCAATACGTTTTTCAAAATAGGTGTTTTGGAAGACCAAGTGATTCAATTTCGAAGTATACTTTGGAAAAAAATTTTTTGAAAAAAGCTTTTAGTAATTGATTTTTTGGTTTCATCTTTATCAGAACTTCAACAAAATATCAAAGGCCAATGGAATATCTTATACAAGATACTTAAAAATGCTTCAAATGTGATTTTTGTTCAATAATTTTCTCTCTTTGGTTAATTTTAAATCAGAAATTTAAATTAGAAATCTTTAGAAAGTTATCCCTTGCAAATATTTTAAAGTAATTTTTAAAAATATTTTACGAAGTTGTAAAGCCATCACCGTAATACAGCTTTAGAACATGGTCAAATACCACTGAACCAGGTACATGTGTAAACAAGGTCATTTCAGTTTTTCCATTCATTTATACCCTATGGATTTGACAGTGTGGAAATGGGACCCATTAACCACATGGATGAGGCACAGTTTTTATTTGTTTTCCTCAGGGAGCACTGGGAGAAAGTTTTCAGGGGAAAGAAGAATATTTTCCTTACAGGGTAGATCTGTGTCAGGTTTCTGAGATGTTTGTGATTTTTACCAAATAATAAACTTCAAATAAAGCCCAGCATCGGTAAATCCATGTTTTGCATTCTAGGTTTAAATGCTTTGAAAGGAAATGTAAACTTTTCAGTTTTAACAGCAAAATGGGAGGAAACCGAATTATTTTTACTCATGCATGTTTATTTTTACCAACTCTTTAAAAAAGTATCTTAATTTATTTTCACCATTAATTATAACATTCTTTGCTTATACACAGCTTTTTAAAAACAAAAGTGACATATCATATATATGCCCCATTTTCCATTTAATAAGTTACCTTAATATATCTTTCCTAGAAAATAAATATACTTTTAAAATATACTTTTAATCACTGTGTAGTGTTTTATTAAATTTTAAACTAATCCCTATTGGTAAGTATGCACAATTTCCCCAAATTTTGTTTTATAAACAATATTATAGTAGATATCTGTATTCATAATCTTTATATACTATACACACTCATTTGATTAATTACTTTAAATAAATTTCATAGAATTGCTTAGTGAGAGCATACTTTTTTAAAATTTTTGATACATTGTAATTTTTTTCCAGATTCCTATAGCAATTTCTATTCAATATAACAGTTTTATTAACATATGGTTTCAAACATTTTAAATTTAGAAATCACTGAGAAATGGTAGCTCATATTTGTATTTCTTTCATGGCTAGTAAGGCTGAATATTTTTAGTTGGCCAAAATGTTTAACAGATGTTTTGGATTTGTTTTTATGAATTGCTTTTTTTTTTTGCCTATTTTTTAATCCTTTTTTGTTTGTTTCATGAGCTTTTTATTCATAAGGGTATTAACTCTGTGTATCTGTTATGTTGCAATTTTTGAATCAGTTTCTTTTCTTTCTTTTTTTCTTTTGCCATTAACTATTTGGTCAATATTGCTTTGTAGAATACTTACATTTTATGGGTGTCAAAGCTGCTATCAATTTCTTCTATCCTTCCGATTTTGTTACTCTTGAGAGGACTTTCCCACTTGTAAAAATGTATACCTATACTTTTTATAGTACTTTCGATGTCTTTTCTTATTTAAAATTTTTATCCTGTGGAAGTTATTTTAGTAGGAAATCTAACTTTATAATTGCTATTTTTTTAATGGCTAGTCTTGTCTCAAATCCATTTGTTCTGTAACTGATTCCTTCCCTACTGATTTGAAATACTATCCTGTGTCCCTCCCTGCGCACTTCCTTGGAACCAAACCTCCTTATTGCTGCCCCTACCATGTGAAGTCCCACAGACTTTGCACCCACATGCTCACTGGGCTGCCTATACCTGCCATCTGACAGCAGCCTCGCTGATCACCTCCCTAGGCTGCCTTGAGACACATCTGTCACTCACACCTCACCCAGGGGAAGAAAGTATCCATGTCCTACGTCACAGCTGTGGGCTCTTCCTAGATTCTCATATTACCAGTGTGGAAATATCATTTTTTTTTAGCCCTGAAAAACATAATTTTCTAATGCTTTAATTCTATGATTTTATCATTTGTCTACTTATTTTTCCTCTGTGCCTTGAAATTTTATTATGCTTTGTGTTGCCAATTTCTGACCTAAATTCTTTTTATTCTTTCTTCAAAATCATTCCATAGTGCTCTCTGGAACACCTATTCAATCACAACAAACTCCTCTTAACCTTCACTTTTTTCCCCCTATAGCTCTGAAACTTGACTCTCCCCTGGATATCATAGTTCAGAAATACTAGGGGAGGGAAGTGGATTACATGGCATATTATCCCATCTCTAAACCATTATTTCTCCATTGTCTTGTACTCACCTCGGCTCTTCTGAGCCATCTGGCTACACTAATCTCTACCATTGCTCATTCCTGTCATCTGCTCCCCATCTGAACAAACCTCTCCTTCGTTGAACACTCCAGCAACTGATAGGCAGTCATATTCTCCTGTCCTCAATCTGGGTGACTTCATATCTACATCCAACTCCACAACTTCTCAGCTTTTGACCTCCACAGCTAAAGCAGTAACCTTCTTTACTCCTCACCTAACCACTTCTGTAGCCACACCCTGGGCTTGCTGTCATGTGAAATTGTTCCTTTCTAAAATTTCAAATTCAGAAACTCTCTGGACATAGCATCTTATTATTTTTTTTCCTTACATCAATCCAGAAATTCACACCTATGCTTGTTCATTGGGATGGCCAATAATTTGGCCCATCTGTTTTCATTCTCCATATTCTTAATGCTTGGAGTCAGATATTTCTCAGTGCATTCCATTTTCATCAGCACAAGTCAATAGAGAACCTAAGAATTCTGCGTGCTTCTTGCCAGAACCTTACCACCCTCCCCCCTACAACTACAGCAACCTCAGTCTCACTACCACCTGCCTTGAGTCCTCTATGACATTATGACCCCTATCTTTTTTGTTTATACAAATTATTGCAAAATCCTTATACTTCCAAGTAGCATGATCAACTGTTCTGGTTTTCCTGGGACTGAAGGGTTTCTCAGAATGCCACATGGAGTAAGTCCTTGACATAAAGACTTCACTTTTTCAAAATTCATTATTTTATTTTTACATGTCATCTTCGCTTTCAAGCTCTAAGCTATTCGTTCATCTGAAGTGCAACAGATCCTTGAATAATGTCATTTTTGTTATACCATTGGTGAGACGCTATAGGAACTTAATTCTTACTTATATCAACTAGCCTATGGTGAAATTAGTTTCCTTACATGTTATTTTGCTTGAAGTCTCAGAACCTACCAACAATGTTAAGTGAGGACTTATGGTATATGATAACTCTTACTGTTCCCTCGCCTTCTTTTTCTGTATGATCCTTTTAATCTAGTGGAGATTGAGAAACTCAGATAACCAAGCGCATCAGTTGGGAATGTAATAGTTGCCCATCATAGAAAATCGGCATCAAATTGGCTTGATGACATAGGGAGAATTGATCAGATTTATGTAACCCAGACTTTAGTCACAGGTTGACCTAGAACTCAAATTATTTTTTAAGGACCCAATTTCCTTCTACTTCTTGGCTCTATTCTCCTCCAACTTGGCTTTATTCTCAG